GCTCCAGGGCAGTGGTCCTGGTGCCGGGTGTACCTGGCGGGGCCGCCTCAGGCGGACAGTGTGCCCTGGGGTCCTGCCAGAACACCGTGGGACGCCTGGCCACAGCCGGGGGCCGCTGGTGCAGCTTCACACGGGGCCTTCCCCCATCCGCGTCCTTCCCCCGGGACTCTGCCTCCAGGACGCCCGCACGCCCCGGCTGCGCAGAGGCCCTACCTGGCCAGGCTGTACCCGTGTTGCAGCGAGGAGAAGAGCAGCAGGGGCTGGCACAGGGCGAAGCGCTCGGGGACCCAGGACCAGATGTCCCTCATCTCCTTCACACTGACGATCTCCGAGTGGAAGTTCTCCGCGTGCACGGCCAGGTGTACAAACTGCCTGGGGGCGCAGCGAGGGGTCGGCGCCGGCAGAGACCTGGCCCCCGCCCAGCACTGCGCCCCAGCCTCACTTTGGGACTAAGCCTGGAGGGAAGGGCTCACCCACGCGGCCAGGTTTGGTCCAGGTCCCCAGGACCTCTCCCAAGAGCCCCCACCCCGTTACCAAGAGGGGAGACGCCCCAGCCTGGGTGGGGACGGAAGCAGCTTTCCTCTAAGAAATCAGGACAGAGTGGGTCAGCGCTGGCATGACACGGCTTCGAGCCAGCCAAGCACTGGCAGGTGGCCCACTGAGGCAGATGGACAGACAGACAGACAGTGCCCACACTGTAGGCACCAGCCCGGCCCTGGGAACTAGAGCAAGCAGCCTGCAGAGACGGCCCAGCAGGACGGTGTGGCAGAGCTGCGCACGGAGCTGTGGTTCAGACCTACCTTTTAGAAAGTGAGACACTGAAAGACAGGAGGAAGCAGCAACAGACACGGAGAAGAGGAAGATAAAACAGACGAGGAGAGGTTAGTGGTGGGTGAGGTCCCCGATCCACCGGCCCAGGGAAGAGGGCTCGGCACCAAAGGCACACCCCTGGCAAGGTCGCACCTCAGCTGATGAGAAGGTCCCGGACACCATGACCTTCCCCAGCCCTGCCCCCGGGGCGTGCTCTGGCAGGCCGCACCCACCACGACCAGCTGTGAGCCGGGAGCCCCAGCCAGAGCGGGTGCTGCTCTGCGGGGACCGGGCAGCCGGCGGGCACTGGCCCTCTGACTGTAGCCCGCGCCCGGCTTCTGATGCGGCGGGGGGCCCCGCCCCTGAGGACAGGTGGCTCCTGGGCCGGCTGCAACAGGAAGGGCCCCCTGTCCCGAGCCTTCCAGCCCCCACGCGAACCCTGCGGGCAAGGGCTGGAGGCAGCCAGGCGCAGGGCCAGCTCCCACCCGGGCCGGCGCGCTCTTGGCCGCCCGCTCTCGGCCGCCCCTACCTCTTCTGCTTCACAGTGATGCCCTTGTGCTTGAGCGCCTTCTCGTTGGCCATCTGAAGCAGCTGGATCTCTCGGCGGGAGAAGAGGCGGATGGCAAAGGCCTTCTCCAGCAGCTTCTCGGGGGACACGGTCTTGGCGATGTCCTTGACGAACGCACGGATGTCCTGCTTCACGCTGTCCGACTCGAGGGGCTGCCCTGCTCTCGCCTTGTGGAAGAACTTGAGGATGGCCAGGGCGACACGGTACAGCACCTTGTACCCCTCCACCAGGAAGACGTCGAAGACGCGGGCGAAGTAGTGGAGGGGCAGCTCCCCAGCCAGCCAGCGCTGCCAGTCCGCGTAGACCTGCAGCACGTCCTCCGACACGGCCACCATCAGCTTGTGGGCGGCCTGGCAGTATTTGTTCACCAGATCCCCGAAGGTCATGCAGGAAGACTCGAAGGCCAGGAAGCTCTGGTCGATCAGCTTCCTGGCTGGGTCGTTGCAGGCCAGGATGCGGCAGGCCTTCTCGAAGCACTCGGCCTCGTCGATGCTGTAGTGCAGCAGCAGGGCCACCACAGCGGGCAGCGCGGGGCAGAAGGACACGTCGGGGAACTGGTTGGCGATGCACAGCAGGATCTTGCGCACGGCCCCCTCGCCGCGTGCATTCAGGCAGTAGCTGGGCACCTGCGTGTTGTCCACGAACTCGGGCAAGGGCAGCGAGCTGCTGCTGTGCTTGCCCACGATCTTGCCCACGATGTCGCTGTACACGCTGGCATCGGGCGTGACGGTGCGGCAGGGGATGTCCCGGATCAGGCGCTGGTACACCTTGCCCCGCAGGGCGTAGCTCCGTGCCCAGTAGCCCTGGCGGGCCAGCTGCTTCAGCTCCTGCAGCTCAGTGCAGCTCAGCTCCTTTGGGCCCAGGTCCTGGATTGCGGCGTCCATCTTGTCTTTGTCCACGAAGCAGTTGTACCCTGGGGAGTCCATGGTGCCCAGCGCGCAGCAGGAGGGCAGGTGTCCGAAGGGGAGAGAGCACCAGCTAAGCTCTCCAGCTCTGGCAGTAAGGGTTCCCAGCTGCCCCACCAGCCATCCTGCAACCCTGCAGGATGGAAAAAACAGCATTTCAAGGAACGTGGTTTTTGTTTTAATCTTTCTAGAATGTACTGGAAGGCTTCTGTTCAGGACAAGGGGCTGTTCTGAGAACACGTGAAGAACTCCAGAGGAAGTTCCTGGAAGAGGTCAGGCAGGTTCTGGGGAATATGAGGCAGAGTCCCCACAGGGGTTCCTTCCGGGGCTGCCCCCGCTGACATCAACTCTGCCAGGGTGGTCCACCCCAGGCTCCCAACCACCACTCTGTGGCCCTGGGGCCTTCTGAAGAGGAGCCAGGGTCAAGAAGACCCACAGAGCGAAAGGCTGCCTGGCCGCGGCTGTGAGGCGTGGGGCTGTTAGCCAGTTATGCACCCGAGGGGGCCTCGCTCTCCTGCCACGCCTGCAGCTCCCACGGAACTGCCTGAGTGTCAGCTTGAGAACCACACTTTGGGGACCAGCAGATGGCAATGGCGTCGTGGTTACATCGCTACACTCGCACACGGCCAAAGTGGCATGGTGGTTAAGGAAGCTGGGCTCCCACACGGGTAACCATAGTTTGAGTCCTGGGCCTGGTGGCTTGCTTTCCCACTCCCCTCCCACCCCTCACTCTGTCCCTCTCTGGTCAAATTAAAATAAATAAAGTTAAATAAAATCATTCTTAAAAAAAAAAAATACTCAGCATGGCAGAAGGCATGGTATTAAGGCACTGAACTCCCACATGGCTGACCATGGTTCGAGTCTTGGACCTGGTGGCTTGCTTTCCCACCTTCCCTCTCTCTGGTCAAATTAAAATAACAATAATAACAGTGATAAGTGAATAAATAATTCTTTTAAAAAATAAATAAATAGGGGACCAGCAGTTAGTGTAATGGCTATGTCGCTGGACTCCCAGGTAGTTGACTGCGGTTCGCGTCCCGGACCCGGTGGCTTCCGGTGGCTTAAAACTCATGCCAGGCGCGTGTGCGTGTGTGCCCAAGATCCCGAGAGGAGAATGGAGAAGGGATTGTGGCGTGACCATCCCCCCTGGGGGGTGATTTCTCGCTTTCTGTCTCTATGTCTCTGTCTGTCTGGTGAGTACACGTGCCCTAGAGCAAAAAAGCCTCTCCAAAAATAAATAAATAAATAAATAAAACTCAAGCCAGGTGCATGTGTGTACATGCCCAGAATCCTGAGAGGAGAATGTGGAGTGGTCATGCCCCAGGGGGGTGATTTCTCACTTTCTGACTCTCTGTCTCTGTCTCTCTCTAGTGAGTGCACACACCCTATAGCAAAAATCTCTCTCTAAAGAAAGAAAAGAACAGGACCAGCAGTTGGTGTAGTGGTTACGTCGCTGGACTCCCATGTAGTCGGCCACGGTTCGAGTGCCGGACCTAGTGGCTTAAACTCACACCGGGCGCGTGTGCGTGTGTGCCCAAGATCCAGAGAGGAGAATAGAGGAGAAGGGATTGTGGCGTGGCCATCCCCCCTGGGGGGTGATTTCTCACTTTCTGTCTCTATGTCTCTGTCTTCCTGGTGAGCGCACGCACCCTATGGCGAAAACCTCTCCAAGAAAAGAAAGAAAGAAAGAAAAGAAAGAAAGGAAGGAAGGAAGGAAGGAAGAAAGAAAGAAAAGACCACCACCCTGGAGAACGGCCATGGGGCAGACACGCTCACAGAGGAAGTGCTGAACGAGGGGAAGCCTCAGCCTTCACAATGAGATGCTCTGGATCCAAATGGGCCAGGAGTCCTTCTGGTGGTGGTGTCTCCACCACAGTCCAGTATTGCGGTTCAGGCAGCTGTCAAAAGTGAGGCGTGGGACCAAGTGGTATAGTGGTTAAGGTGTTGGACTCCCACATGGCTGAGTGCAGTTCGAGTCCTGGACCTGGCGGCTTGCTTTCTCACTTTCCCTTTCTCTGTCTTTGTCTGGTCAAATAAAATAATAATATTAACAAATGGAAATAAATCATTCTTAAAAAAAGAAAGAAAGAAAAGGCAAATATGACTTGAAAACACTGACAGAAAAGTAAAGAATGTAATGCCAAGGCCACGTGTGGACTCTTCAGAGAGCACTTCGTGTTGTTTCCGTGCGTGTGCGGTGAAACACATGACATGAGATCGACCATTTCAGCCATGTCTTAGTTCATTTATTTGTACCCTTTATGCGAAGGGCAGAGAGAATAGGAGGGGGGAGAGACAGGGTGAGGGCAGAGAGAATAGGAGGGGGGAGAGACGGGGGGGGGGGGGAGAGAATAGGAGGGGGGAGG